GAAACATTTACAACTTTTACACATTTACACTTTTGGAATGTGATAAACACTTGATGCCAAACAGTGGATCACTTCACAAATCTGAGGTTGAACATTCAAAACAATGATAAAATCTTTTTCAGCAGATATGAGTAAAAAGTTTCCTTTTCCTTAACTATTAAAAAATCCCCCTCTCACTCCTTGCGGGGTGGTATGTGTCATCCTCAAGCTCGCGTCCTCTACCAGAGGTTTGAGGGTTCTGCGCAGTATCTTAGCTGTTCCTAGGACTGCCCTCTTCTGGACAGAGACCTCTGATGTTTTACCTGGAATCTGCTGTAGACACTCTCCCAGTTTGGGGGTCACGGACCCCATTGCTCCGCTTACCACTCGCACCACTGTTGCTCTTACTTTCCACATCTTTTCTAGCTCCTCTTTCAGCCCTTGGTATTTCTCAAGCTTCTCGTGTTCCTTCTTCCTGATGTTGCTGTCTCTTGGGATCGCCACATCTATCACTACTGCCTTCTTCTGCTGTTTGTCGATCAACACGATGTCTGGTTGGTTAGCCGTCACCAGTTTGTCAGTCTGGATCTTGAAATCCCACAGGATCTTAGCTCCGTCATTCTCAACTACCTTAGGAGATGTCTTCCATTTTGACCTTGGGACTTCCAGCCCATACTCACGGCAGATGTTCCTGTACACTATGACAGCTACCTGGTTATGGCGTTCCATGTACGCACTTCCTGCCTGCATCTTACACCCTGCTATTATGTGCTGTACTGTCTCAGGGGCATCCTTGCACAGTCTGCACCTGGGGTCCTGCCTGGTGAGGTAGACCCCAGCCTCTCTTGATCATGTACTGAGTGGCTGTTCTTGTGCCGCCATGATTAGTGCTTCTCTGCTGTCCTTTAGTCCAGCCTTTTCCAGCCACTGGTAGGATTTCTTGATATCAGCCACTTCTTCTATTTGTCTGTGGTACATGCCGTGCAGCGGCTTGTCCCTCCATGAAGGTTCTTCATCTTCTTTGTCCTCACCCACCGGTTTCTGCTGCCTGAGGTATTCACTAAGCCCTTCATCTTTGGGGGCCATCTTCCTGATGTACTTCTGGATCTTCGTTGTTTCATCCTGGACAGTGGTCTTGACACTCACTAGCCCTCGGCCTCCCTCGCTACGCTTGGTGTACAGTCTCAGGGTGCTGGATTTGGGATGAAACCCTCCATGCATTGTGAGGAGCTTTCTTGTCTCTGTCAGTGGCCTCTATCTCCTCCTTTGGTCAGTTTATTATACCAGCGGGGTATCTGATGACTGGCAGGGCGAATGTGTTGATGGCTCGGATCTTGCTGACTTTTCAGGACCTGCCTCACACTCTTGGCTGCGGCGGACTTCCTTGCTGCCTCCTCATGGTTTCCGTTGCCTGTGGCACCCCAAGGTATTTGTAGCCGTCCTGAACATCTGCAATGTGGCCTTCTGGTAGTTCAACCCCCTCGGTTCTGATCATCTTCCCTCTTTTTGATACCATGCGACCACACTTGTCCAGTCCGAACGACATTCCAATGCTGTAGATCCTGGTAGCGTGGATCAGTGAGTTGATGTCTCGCTCATTTCTGGCGTACAGCTTGATGTCATCCATGTAGAGGAGGTGACTATAGGTTGTTCCACTTTGGAAACGGTATCTGTAGCCAGTCTTTGTGATGATCTGGGTTCAGGCCTATGCAGAACAGCAGCTGGGATAGTGCATCGCCTTGGTATATGCCGCACTTGATGGTGACTTGTGCAATTGGCTTCCAGACTTGTTTTCTACAGCCCCGTTGAGTTCTTCATGAAGGCTATTAGTGTCCTGTTGATCTTGTACATTTCCAAGCATGCCGTTCCAGTCTGTCGTTGGTTAGTGCAGCATTAACATACATTTGTTTGTACTTCTTTTTAAAACAGCGTTTCATCATGTTGTTGACGGAGCATCTGGTTCGCTGTGAGACAGGCAGCGTGGACATCAGCACGCCATGGTACAAAAACTGCATCGAGCGGCTGCAGCAGATCTTCCTCATGGTAAAACATTCACACAAACACACTGCAGTGCTATGTTTTGACGTGTGTATTCTCTCGATGACCTGTCTCTCCTCGTTCTGCAGCACCATGTGACCATCCAGCAGTACATGGGAACCTTGGAGAACCTGCTGTTCACCGCAGAGCTCGACCCCCACATCCTGGCCGTTTATCAGCAGTTCTGTGCCCTCCAACTTTGAGACACACACACACCGACACACGTATTTGGATGAAACGAAATGTGTACTTGTGTCCACACAGTACCTGTGCTAAACCTACACATTAGAAACTACCAGCTCTTGCATCAAGAATCTCCACATCAGTTTTTAGTTTAGTTTATTTTTTCAATTTGCTGTTTTATGTTTGGTGCCATTCGATACGTTAAAGTTTTGTGCGACCGCAACTGGGGACGTCTTTCAAAGAAGGAATTCAAACAAGAGTCTGTTTGACCTCTGTCATTAAGTTGATGTAGTGTTCCTTTTTTTTTTTTTGCTTGGATTTCAATTTTGTTGATTTTTACATCCTGCTCGTATTCTTATAAATGGGTCTTTTTAAAACTGTACTAACTGAGTCCAGACGGAGCTGGAGATAATGATCATAGGAGAGGAGAGTTCAGGTCGGCTCTGATTGATTCTGAATCGAGAGAGCACTCTACTTTTTTATATTTGTTTTATGTGGAATTGGGAAAGAATAAAGCTCTCCAGAGTCTTTATCGCCTGCTATTTTGTGTCATGTCATTTTCTTCCTCTTGGCCGCAAACTGCCACTCTAAGATATTCGTCTCTCATTCTGATGGTGGAGAATATCGAAAATACATAAGAGTAGAAATACTGTTACAAGTAAAAGTCCTGCAATCAAACACAAGTATGTACTATCACAGGTTTCTTCACTTGTTAGTTCTGTGCTTGATTGACATTTTATTTGGAAACACCTGTCGGAACTTTCTCCTCTCCAAAAGTATTTGACGGGAACACAAATTTCTTTGTTTTTGTTGTTCACTGAAGACATTTGGGTTTAAGATCAAAAGATAAGTCTGAGACAAGAGTTCAGAATTTCAGCTCTCATTTCATGGTATTCACATCTAGATGTGTTAAACAACTCAGGACAAGCCACCCATTTTTCAAGTGAGCAGAACTATTGGAAGATGTGACTGACAGATGTTTCTTGTTGCCCAGGTGTTGCCTTTTAGGTTGATTGTCCAAACATTAAATAGCTCTGCATGACTAGTCTAAGTTTTCATCCTTGGTTCAAACCTATAAAGACTGCATTTCCTGTTAAAGAGGATAAACCAACATGAAGACCAGAGAGCTGTCTATGGGAGAAAAGCAAGCCATTGTCAAGCTGAGAAAATTTGGGAAATCGACCAGAGCCATTGGTCAAACATTGGGCATAGCAAGCACAACAGTTTGGGATGCCCTGAAAAAAGAAACTACTGGTGTACTGAGCAACAGACGTCCAACAGGTCGACCAAGGAAAACAACAGTAGTTGATGACAGAAATATCGTGAGGGCTGTGAAGAAGCCCCCAAAACATCAGTGAGTGACATCACCAATGACCTCCACAGTGCAGGGTGAAGGTATCACAATCCACTATTGGAAGAAGACTCAGAGAGCAGAAATATAGAGGCCACACCACTCATGAGCAGGAAGAATCAGAAGGCCAGATTGAAATTTGCAAAGAAGTGCAGAGATGAGCCGCAAAAGTTCTGCAACACAATCTGATGGACGGATGAGACCAAGATTAATCTCCAGCAAAGTGATGGAAAGGCCAAAGTGTGGAGAAAGAAAGGAACTGCTTATGATCTGAAGTGTACAAGCTCATCTGTGAAGCATGGTGGAGGTAATGTCATGGCTTGGACGTGCATGGCTGCTTCTGGAACAGGCTCATTAATATTTATTGATGATGTAACTGATGATGGTGGCAGCAGAATGAATTCAGAAGAGGACAGAAACATTTTGTTTGCCAATTTACGGAGAAATGCATTGAAACTAATCGGGAGGAAGTTTATCATGCAGCAGGAAAATGAGCTAAAGCACACTGCCAACAAAACAAAGGACTTCATCAGGGGAAAAAAGTGGAAGGTTTTAGACTGGCCAAGTCAATCACCTGACCTTAACCCAATAGAACTGCATTTCACCTCCTTAAGAGGAGACTGAAGGGAGAAACACCCCCAAAACAAACGAGCTGAAAGAAGCTGCGGTAAAAGCCTGGAATAGCATCACAAATGAAGAATCCAACAGTTTGGTGATGTTGATGGGTCGCAGGCTTGAGGCAGTTATTGCAAGAGAGGGTTATGCCACCAAATATTAAATGTTATTTACTCACCTCAGAATGCTGTGGTCTAATACAAAGGGTGATATGTCCTAAGTGGTTTAACACATCTAGATGTGAACACCAGGAAATGAAAGCTGAAATTCTGAACTCTTGTGTCAGACTCATCTTTTGATCTTAAACCCCAACGTCTTCAGTGAACAACAAAAACAAAGGAATTTTCCTTACCGTTCCAATAATTTTGGAGGGGAATAAAGTATATGTATATGTAGTATCAGAAAGCTTAAAATATGTAATGTAAGACAGTGTAGCATTAAGATGAATTAAAAAATGTCCCTGAAAAGGGCTTCATGAACAGCTAATTTTAGTCATGAAACTTATTTGCACAGTTGCTCAAAAATGTGCGAATTGTGTCTTAATTTAAAGGGTGCAGTGTGTCAACAAGGTTCCCTAATCTATGCCTGGAAAAGCACAGCTGACGTCTCCATTCACTTCAGTTGTGTCAGTGCTGGGATATAATTAAGTGGCAGGACATACTACTGGAACAGAGATATCTTCAATGTTATAAGTTACACCTGTAGTTTTGCTTCTGTTCTGATAAATGCTGTGAAAAGAAGTGGGCTAAAAGTCTAGTTTCAGTTTTTAGTATTTTATGACGCTGTATTAAAGACTCTCCCCCCATGGCAACAATCACACTCAGGGGAAAGGAACTTGAGGTAACATTTTATTGATATTTTAAGGCACTGAAATACAAAATATTGCAGAAACTGTCATTAATGCAGTCTTGGCCTTTAGAAACACACTCAGTGAGAAGGAAGTCAGTTAACAAGTTTTTTAAATCTTTAACAAAATATCAAATATTACCTCTACAAAACAACTATTATTGGCCTTGATTAGAGGAAGAAGTTTAAAAAATCCCATGTCACCTTTAATTTAAGTACAAACTCAACTGATTTGGTGTCTTCAATAAGCAGAACACATTCAGTACGCTGTTGAACACTAATGTGTCATTCCTATCTGCCACATACAGGGCCTTCATTTGCACCAGGCACACCACTTTATTTTGACAGAGTACAAAATGTGTCAGTACTGAATTTATTCCCTTTATTGCACAGATCCCACAACGGTCTCCATCTATAAGGCTTCAGCATCCTTCACACCTGTTTTACAGTGTCTACAGTCCTTAAGATGGAAGGATTTTTACAAACTTAAGACATTAATAAGTAATTAAATGCGATTTGTTGATTAGGGGACACGTCAAATAACACAGACGATGATTAGTGGAACAATAATAGACAGTTAACAAACAGGAAACCATTTGGTTTCAATTCCAGGTAGTCAAGTTTCAAATCAACACATTTAGTTTCCAGAGACCTTCAGAAACCCTAATGACAGTTAATAGATTTCATCCCAAGTATGTTAGTAAATAGTGTCTTTTATAGTTGTTTTAGTACAATAGGATGGGATACAGACGTGTCTGCGATGATGTGACAATGAAAGGAGTTATTTCAAGCAGCTCCAGTGAAGTCAGAAAATGTTTAAATGCTAAAACAACAACTGTAAACGTCATCTAGTGTTCAACACCAGATCTCCTCAGTGCTGTGTGCAAAGCACCCTCCTGCAGTGACACTCCTAAATTCATTCACTATTTAAAATAGTCCTATGATTTATTATTTATCCAACACTCTAACAACACTAATCTATATAAGTTTGGTATATAACGTTTGTTTTTGTGCGTAGCATAGAGGGAACTACTTTGAATCTGGCTGTCAGTCCCTGAGTCAAAAATAATACACAGTTCTTTGGAAAGTGGCAGGAAATAGACAAGAATTCAAAGCAGCCACACAAAATGCTGTCTTTTGAGTCTCGCTGAATGTAATGCTGGGAACAACAAAACAATGCAGCGTAAGTAGATTTGCTATTTTGAAGGAATGTGGATACACAGCCTCCTTTGCCGTGAGCTAAAATGTCAGAGCGGAGAGACCTAAAGTAATTGTTTGAGAATCTTCATGTGAAAATGTACATTGTTCCATAGCAGGTTTGTGTATGTTTTTGGTCTTCATTTTCTCTCCTATTACCGGTACATCTCATCTCAAGACCTAGTGCGAATGCAAAATATTTTAAATACACATGATCAGCAGCAGATACACATGAATCTGAGGTTACCAAAACAAACTGTAGGTCTGGTGTTTATGGGTGGCGATGGAGCAGTGGATAAGACACATCTTTGTTGTGGGAGATCTGGTTCAATTCCCACTGCGATATCAACCAATGTGCACCTGAGTCACTTAACTCTTAGTTGCTCCAGAGGTGAGCGGCCTCTGACATATATATATATAGCAAATGTAAGCATTTGGATTAAAGCGCCAGCTAATGCTCATTGGTCGCCGAACCGGTGCTTTGTTTAGTCCTGTAGGTTGCTTGTTCCTCAGCCTCCAGCCGTCTGTATCGCGTGTGGAAGAAGATCACGAAGCAGCAGGTAAACAAACTGCACAATCCTGCCATTACCAACATGGGCACTGAGGGCGAGAAATGTCCAAATTACGATACAACTTTAGCTCCCAGTTACTCAACATCCCCAAAAGTCCAAGTTTATACATATAATAAATAAATAATAGCATATGATAGAATTCATTCGTTATATGTGCTCAGATACAGCTGATGATTGTTTTTTATTAATGAAATGCTGTAAATATTGCTACTTCGCTCGTTCGTCTTCTAGTTCTTTTTCACAGTTAAGTTATTGTTTATTATACTGTTGCACAGTATCAGATGAAAGGAAGGATGAAAAAGAGTTTAAATCAACCAAATCAAACAGCTTAAAGAGTTTAGTGGGGACTTGACAGCACACTTGCATCACCAGTATTACAATTACTAAAAGTCATAAACTTTTTTTTCCCCCATAAATGAACTGCAGGTTAGATTCCCACCGCTGGAACATCATGTGACCTACCTCTCCAGCTCAGGACTGAATTCCCGCAGGTTGACAGAGGAGATTCCGCGAGGGGTGTGGTTAAAGCCTGAAGGAGGATTATGTAGAGAACAGACTGAATCTGTCTGGAAAAGATCACAAAGAAACATGACTAACTATCCATCAGATGAAGTCCAGGAAGTGATCAGTGTCTATTTTAAATATGAAATAAAACAGGTGAAAATCAATTATATAATATAAAATGTGTGTGCTCAGAGAGTAATACCCCGAGATGAAGATGAGTCCGGCTGATGTGGCTTCTCCGACCGGATACGAACACTCCACAGACAGCTCCATGGCCACAGGGTAAATGGAGAAACCAAAGAAGCCAAAAAGAGAGCAGACGGCAGCCATGGCGACTTTCTGCTCCCGCATCAGACACACCTGAGAGGAGGAGAGCAGATAGAAGGATATCAGAATATCAACAAGGCAGGAAAAACATCTTTGAAACAAAATTATGAGCATCAAATGTAGATTAAAGTTTTCCAAAAAAAGATTTGTTAAGAAGTGCTCTATCTCTGTGTACCATTCCTACCCAATCATGACATCATAAATAAATACACATAATAGATACAACAAGTGTCTAATAAACTGCTCAATCTTATTGACAAGAGTGATCCAGCTTTCCGTTTGCTATTGTAACCAGTCAATGTCTGGTAGCTTTTTACATTTACAGTTTGTTTGTCATAAAGAAATGAACAGAAGAGCTGGTTAGTTTAAATAAGCAGTACATCAACGGAAAAATCCAAATGACAAAAGAACAGTGTTTGACTGAATAAAGCTCAGAAAGAGAGCAAGAAGCACCAACAATAAATACAGCAAACACCCCTGTAATATTAGATAATGTATGTTGTAATAAGTGTTTGTAATATTCCTAGCATTCAAGTAGATACAGATGATCATCAACACTTCTTCTAATAGACATGTGAGCTGCCACCGTTTCTAAATCTAACACCATGTATATCCTTTTTTGTTTCCTTATAGTATACACCAGAACACTGAAAGGATGTCGTCTTGTTCCCCTGAATACTGCCTACGTTACATGGAGAGAATGACAATAAATTCTACCTTCAACACTGAACCTACCTATTCAACACTAACTACTTAGATATCAGTGTAGATTATTTTTCTTTAAATTTATAGTGTCTTTACTTTAAAACATTGTTAAGGTATCTCTACTGTATATAAATCCAGGATTAGGACCATAATGGAAGAGAAAAGAAGTGCTGTCCTCTGGGTAACCCCTTATGATGATTGTATTTATGCTGCACTTCATTGAACTGTTGCTTTTGCAGCGTAGTAAAATACAGTTAACTGTCAAAACACATTGATAAACAACAACATCTTAAGAGTGTTTGTACATCAAACACTGTGACTGTTCCCATCCCAATAGTTTGTTCACCATCAACATTTGTACACATTGCACACTGCACTTATTGCACATTGCATACTTATACCGTAAACCTCTGTCTGGGGAAACAACGTCAGCTTTCAGAAGTTTATGTTTTCTTTATGTAGCAGTAGATTCTATTTTCACATGTTAATTTCTGTACATTTATAATGTGACAGTACTTAAGTTGCAAAACTTAAAAAACATGCTAAATGTTCAGAGCAAATTAACTAATAACCTTCTCAAACTCCTCCTTTGATTCTCTTTTCACAACCTTGATAAATCATTCAAGAGTAGTGGCAGGACACTCTCCTTTAAATAAACTAGATATACAAGCAGGTGTTGAGCTGTAAACTATTCCTGTCTTGTGTTCTCACCACTGAGAAGGCGATGCATGCGAGAGCAGTGAAGCTCATGTTGATCTTTGTGGCTTCGATGAACTTCTTGGTCTTGTCGACATAGAGACCAAGAGCGCCGGCGCCAACAATGCCAAACACGATGAAGAGAGCGCCACAAACACCAGCGAAGTCCTGCAACAATGAGATTTTGTAGGTTTATTTAGCATGTGAGTATTATTAAAGTGTGCTTTAAAAAACACACTGCATCCAGTGTGTACAAGATCAGGGTTTGTTTTCTTTTCTTTTTATTCCATCACTGATAAATTAATCACTTTTGAGTCCTTTATTTGTGTACTTATTTATTTATTGATCCATATGTTTTCTTCCCAATTTTTACCACACAATTCCTCACTGTGTAATGCTTTTATAGACTGTAGAATGAAAATATCAAATCTGCTTTTATTGCTTATTTGATACTAACTGGTCCAGTTAATACCTAATTGTTGCCCATGGAAATCAATACGGTGTCTTATCCTCCAGTGTACTTACATTGGTGTATCCTTGCACACACATGATCTGCTCCAGCAGTGTTGAGAAGCAGGTGAAAACAGCAATGCCCGAACCGAAGCACAGCAGCAGGATGAGGTAGGCTTTGTTCCTCAGTAACTACAGACGAAACAGACAAAAGGATTTGTAAGAGAAAACTCATGGGTAAGGTCAGTGCAGCAACAGCACGCAACGAGGGAACAAGTATCAGCACAAAAGAGAACATAATATGAGCACCCAGGTTTTATTTTGCTGTCACTTGGTGTAGGTTGATGAGTGGGTTTATGTGTCGTCTACATATTTCTAGTGCATCCTCTGTTCAGATCTGTGTGTTTCACCGTAGTGACAATAAAGTTGAGGTTAAAGGTAATCAGATAATAGAGGAGGATGTGAAGGTCCTCTCTGTGGCAGCCTCAGTTTGTGATTTGGTGGTTTAACAGTGACTCTGCATAAAGGACTGACTTTATAGAACTTGTTTTTTTTTAAATGCATATCTGCTTGCATAGCACCGTTCTAGTCCCTAAACCAGTCAAAGTGCTTTACACTACATTTACACACACAGGCCACCATGCAAGGTGCCAGCTGCTCATCAGAAAGAAACTAATCATTCACACACACTGACGGCACAGCCTTGGGAAGCAATTTGGGGTTCAGTATCTTGCTCAAGGACACTTCGACATGCAGACTGGGTCGAACCACCGATCTTCCAATTAGTGGGCGACAAGCTCCACCTCCGAGCCACAGCCGCCCCATGCCTGTATTATGTTGTCGTCTGCCTGCATGTTTGTCTTTTCTACCCTCCTGTGTGCTTACCAGTTTGACCCCCTGTATGAACGGCTCAGAGCCGGACGACTCAGCACCGGCCGACGGCGGCGTCGGAGGGGCGCTGCTCCGTATCCCCACTGTTGCTAGGAAACAGATGAAGCATGCCGGGACCGCATAGGCAAGCAGCTAGAGGAGTGATGAAACACACATAATGTGATGATAAATGGATGTTAGCACCTTAAATCAAAGACAATTTATCATCATTAGCAGGTGAGGTGGCCGGGGCCACAGGCACGCACAGCTGTTATAGCTGTTCTCTGTATCAGCTGCAATTCCACAATGCCCTGTGGAAATGTTTATTTGTTCAGATTTTGTTTTTAATTTTTGCCTAGCCGGTTCACAGTAGACACTGACAGAAAACATGGGGGGAGAAAAGGAGGTTTATTTGCCCCTAAGGCCCCCAGTTTTTCCAAGATCCCCGACTTTAAAAATGTGCTGTATTTGCTAAGCACTTTGTTATGTATTCAAAACTGTATATATTTACACATGTCATGGTGCAGTGAATGCTTTAATCCATCTTCCACTGGTGCACATCAGTTCCAAAGTCCACCAGTACAGTAGCTTAATTCATCTGTCAACTGTATTGTTAACCTGACTAAGTGCCTGTACAACAATTATTTAACACGTGAAAGATTAATAAAAAATCTAAGCGGGAAAAAAAGTATTATATTACAACTGGCCCCGTTAATGTTGGAAACGTTCATCCAACTATTGATCAACATTATAACAGTAAAACGGAAACCTGACCAGATTGCTCATCGGTGGATTTGAAGATATTTCCTTAGTTCAACTCACCAGGCCAGGAATTTGTGCAGGTTTTTCAACCATCAAGGGAGATATGATGTTAGGGAGGAGGACACCTAGGGGATTGGCTGAGGAAAGAAAAGTGAAGTGTAAATGAGGGTTATTGTGGTTTTCTGTCTAACATTACAAATCCGTGCAGTCTCACTACACTTTCTGTTCCCTGTAATTCGTCCAAGTTCTTATCTGTAAGTAAAAAATACAACTAAAACAAATTGTTTTATGCTGATTATTTATCTCTGGATACATCCCTCATTTTGCTCTGCACACATAAGAGTGCTTCCCTGCGCTTTACAGCACGAGCTGAAACTGACCCACTTCCTACTTACCATTGTTACACAGAGCAGAAAACCTGGACACAAGGCAATGACTAAAACTATAAACATGTAAAAAATATTTTATATTTAGATTGTGTTTTAGACAACCTGATTCATTACGGCCAACATTAAAAGCATTTAGCAAACTGTTTTTTCTTTTATACACAAGGGCTGAATAAAAATATACATAGTATTCCCAGCACATTCCTTTTTGACAAGAGTCTACATGTCAGTGTGCGTATTTCTACTGAGGTTTAGACCAATTTTACCACAAATACACAAGCTGCTATCATACTTCAACTAGCCGCATGTACTGTTTCATAAAAGGAAAGGACCTCTGATGATGGAGGTGAAGGTGTTTTTATTTCACCATCTTTGACGCTCCAACAATGTTATCTAAAATAGCTTCAGGACATTTAAAGGACAGTTTTACCTGCTGATATGGCTGACAGATTCACAACAAACATTGAATTTCCCCTTGTGGGATTAATAAAGTATGTGTCCTTCCTCTTCCTCCAACCTCTCCTCTGACCCCTCCTCCTCCGACAGCTGGTCCGAAATTATAAGGTTGTTACTTTTGCTTTTGTTGTCTGATCATTAAAGATGTAACTGATGGTTTAAAGCTGGCTTGTTCTTGTTCTCTTTTTAAATAAAAAAAAAATAATAATGTTTTAGGGAATCCTCAAAATTTAAAACACGTTCACACACCTTGTTCAGGGGTGCTTCAACAGCTAAATATGGTCAAAGTAGTATGAATTACAGCAGCAACAACAATTGATTTTTGTTCACTTGGGGGCATAAGTAGTTCACAATAAACTCTAAAAAACACACTCCTAATATTTATTTATTTGAATCCCCACTAGCCACTACCAAGGCAGCAACTACTCTCAATGTATAAACTTGTTTTGGCTGATGTGTTGCTTTCTTTTTTAAATCATGTATCATTAAAACCCACAGAAGACTGTGGAAGCTGTATAGCTAATTCACACCAGCTCACAGTAATAATAAAAAGTAAATCACTCACACATAGAGGCGATCATGTTAGCTGTGGTGCGCTGGTGTTCAGGGAACCACAGAGATGCCAGCTTGGTGGGGGTGAAAATGATGAGGGGCTGAGCCAGGGCACCAAGGGTCTGACCCATAAACACTACAGGGTACTGGACTTTAAAACCCTCCATCGGCAGTGTCCCGCAGGAGCGCAACAGGGCTCCAATCATGTTCAACCAGGATCCCAGAATCAGCTGAAAGAAGGGTGAAACGTCAAAATGCTAACAGACTTAAGTAGTAATCTACACTCTATCCCTCCATTTTTGGTGCTAAGAGCCAATTCCTGTTATGTTTCTGCACGGCATTTCTCAAAGATTGCCTGTGAATCAAGAAGTGTTCTTTTTTTCCTTTGGTTTTCAGTTCATGGAGTTTCTGTAGGCGATGCTCTTGTCTTTGTCAGTTTGTCCATGGCGGCTTTCGCTCCTCGCCTCTTAGACTCAAAGTATTTACAATGGATAAAGTTTTACGAGGTTTGATTCGCTTATATGTGTATCAATCTGCAAATCAGAATAGTAAAAAATGTACAGGTTCTAGTATCACATCAAATAGATCCTATACAAACTACAGAGCAATATTCATTGCATTTCTTTCTCTACGCAGTTATTGTCCAAATATTTTGTAAAAAAATATGTTTAAGTTTAGTATCATATTCGTTAGCACCAACTTGTAGTAAGTAAAAACGTTTTGAGCATGCTGAAACAATAAATTAAATTCTTTTAGTCATTTACATGTCCAGTCTGTTTTCTCTCTGCATCCATCTGAAGGCTTTCGGCAGACACAAATAATATTTTAGAATATTAATATCTTCTCCTCCTGGACTTGTAAAACAATTTGCCGGTCCTTAGTTACAGATTTGTGTTGTCGTAATACCAAACAAACGCCAGACTCCTCTGTTTGAATTGGCTCTAACTGAAACCGTCACTAAAACAAAACAAAAAGGAACAGTAGGGTACCATCTAGTTTCCTGGAAAACGTAGTTCCATTATACTGTATCAAGTATAACGGCTATAGCCTACAAAACAAATTACACAAGAGCCCCCTGGTGAGGTTTGTACCGTGATGCGTAGCCCGAAGGTGTCCAGCATCCATGAGGTCCCAAAGCTGAGCGGTATCGCCACCACCATGTAGACCAGTGACAACCAGTTGATTTCGTTGAGAGTGACATTCAGATACTGGGCAGACTCGTCCGCTACTGGTGCAAAGGTCAGCCATATCTATGGGAAGACACATGAGAAGATTTATTAAAAGATTTGGTCTGTATGTCTTTAAAAAAAAAGTGACATCTACTCTTACAAAATTATTGCTGATATTAATTTGTGAAAATATAACCGATTATGAAATATTGCTAAAGTTATTCTTCAGACGTGAGAAATACATATTAAAAATGGTAACTGAGTACTAGATCATTCCTTTAGGATTAAGATATGAATATAAGATACCAATTTTCTGTGACAATTATTGTCTAATAAATCTAACAAAGATTATCATTTGGGATGGCGTCTTTAAATATGAAATAATGGGTTCACTTCCTAAATACAAAAACACCAGCATCCCGGAAAAGCTTAATCTAGGAAGTCCAAATTTCAGGAATTACAAATATATTTTCATATTGGGGCTTATTTTACCAACTCAACAATAACACACATGATAAGAAAATATATTAAAGAAGAAAAATAAGTAAATTTAACTGATGACAAAGTTGGCGACATCAAAACATTCATTTACTTTGTGCTTTTATCCAAAGTGCTTTACAATTTGACTCTCATCCACCCATACACACACACGCACACACGCACACACACTCTGCTACTGTTTCCATCATGTTAAAAGTATGCTGTAAATAACAGATGAAAGGATCACGACAGTCTTTTATTCTTTCACACTTTTTTGGTCATGTGTACATTAAGATTCCTCATATTGAGTGTGTTAATATTTGATAATATAACTGATCAAACTCACAAATCTTTGCAATGTAAAACACCATGGTTTGAACTTCAAAACTGCTGTTAACATAACATATTAACGACAGTTTATCTAGTTACATTTTCTTAGTGGTTAAACCTACAAAACCAGTTGCACTGTGTGTTTTAAGTGATCAGATTTCCCTTAGTATCTTGATGCCATGTGACCTGGACACATTAGGAGGAAATGACAAGACTTACTCAGCTCATGTGAGAGAGAAATGCTTATTATGGTTTATTCCGACCTGTCTTATGACACCACTTAACGTACACGCCATGCCATTTTCATGCTACTGAACAAACTGGGAAAAGCGACAACACTGTCATGAAACGCTGCTGAGAAGGTGAAAAGATTTCTCCCAGAAAAAGAAAATTCTTTTCAATTTACATGAGTTTTTTCATTTTATGATCATGTTGCTTTAGACTTTTTACTACATTTTAGAAGGAATTATTAGTTGACACTACATCTACACTCACCTAAAGGATTATTAGGAACACCATACTAATACTGTGTTTGACCCCCTTTCGCCTTCAGAACTGCCTTAATTCAACAAGGTGCTGAAAGCATTCTTTAGAAATGTTGGCCCATATTAATAGGATAGCATCTTGCAGTTGATGGATAGGATGGGTACATGGTGGCCATAAAGGGATGGACATGGTCAGAAACAATGCTCAGGTAGGCCGTGGCATTTAAACGATGCCCAATTGGCACTAAGGGGCCTAAAGTGTGCCAAGAAAACATCCCCCACACCATTACACCACCACCACCAGCCTGCACAGTGGTAACAAGGCATGATGGATCCATGTTCTCATTCTGTTTACGCCAAATTCTGACTCGACCATCTGAATGTCTCAACAGAAATCGAGACTCATCAGACCAGGCAACATTTTTCCACTCTTCAACTGTCCAATTTTGGTGAGCTCTTGCAAATTGTAGCCTCTTTTTCCTATTTGTAGTGGAGATGAGTGGTACCCGGTGGGGTCTTCTGCTGCTGTAGCCCATCCGCCTCAAGGTTGTGCGTGTTGTGGCTTCACAAATGCTTTGCTGCATACCTCGGTTGTAACGAGTGATTATTTCAGTCAAAGTTGCTCTTCTATCAGCTTGAATAAGTCGGCCCATTCTCCTCTGACCTCTAGCATCAACAAGGCATTTTTGCCCACAGGACTGCCGCATACTGGATGTTTTTCCCTTTTCACACCATTCTTTGTAAACCCTAGAAATGGTTGTGCGTAACTGAGCAGCTCGTCTGGCACCAACAACCATGCCACGCTCAAAATTGCTTAAATCACCTTTCTTTCCCATTCTGACATTCAGTTTGGAGTTCAGGAGATTGTCTTGATCAGGACCACACCCCTAAATGCATTGAAGCAACTGCCATGTGATTGGTTGATTAGATAATTGCATTAATGAGAAATTAAACAGGTGTTCCTAATAATCCTTTAGGTGAGTGTATTTCACAGCTATTGTTACTCGTTACTTCTCAGATCAATATATGATATATGAAAGATTTTAATTATTTGAATATTCTAATTATTATTATTTATAAAATATACATTGCTATAGATTCAACTACCCAAACAGTTTAAGGTGTTAGCTCTACTATGAAATTAAAATGAAACTTACACATACTTATTAATGAATCAGTACTAATTTTCCAATAATAGAATAAATATAGCACTCTGAATGGGGACAATGTTGCACAAGGAGTACTTTTATATTTGATTCTTTAAATATGTTTAGCAGTTCACACGCTTGTAGCCTACATTTACTTTTACTATTTTGAAAGCAGGACTGAGATTATTTTTCATTGTGGTGTTGCTACTTCTAGTTAAGTAAAAGATGTTAATATCACCACTTGGGTTATGTTTACAATTGAATTAAATGTATAGAGGATTTTGGTGTAAACTGGTGAAGGTCATCACAGCAACACATTTTGAAAAACACAATACAATTAAGGCATGCTTGTTATTAAAAGTACTGAGTTTGAACTTATCTGCAGACACATTTGGATATTGGATCACAGCATCCCTCATGTGTTGTGACGTCGGGTGAAACTTCCCGATTAACCCGTACTACGAAAGGTGGATAGGTGTTAATCAAGGTCTGTTGCCACGGCAATTTACGCTGCATCTCTAAACTGTTCCAAGCAGGTTCTGTTCGTGGTTAACTCAAGGTTACCCTGTATACATACACACCACATCTGTACACCACTTGATAAAATATTTTTAAGATTTCATCCTGACTTGTTCCACTGAGGTTGCAGCTGAAATGAAGTTGTTCTTAACACAACAGCATTATGCTCATACAGCGAACCCTGCAGCCACTGTGATTTTAGGGAGAAGATCTTAATTAATTAACAGGCCGGTTTCTGTAGGCTATAACTGAATTATCCTAAGTGTATTCATATATGTAGATTGACTATTTTTTCGGTGTCCAAAAAATACGGAGCCAGGGTGGGGTTAATAAAAATCCTAGATGAAAGTGTCAAATGTACACAAACAAAACTCGGAAAATCCCTGAAATTAAAGTCACAAAAAATCTAAATCACTCTGGTGTTTTCTTGTGAATACGACCAATCCAAGTCTCTAAGGTGAATAATATAGTGATTGTGGGCTAAACTCAAGTATTTCTTCTTTGCTAATTTCAATTGTCTAATATATACTTTCCACTGCATGCATAATACACTGAAGAGGTGTGTGTGATGTTGCAGCTTTGCAAAGGGAAGTTTCTCTGTGTAAATGTGTGACTATAATGTCAGAGAATAAGTTTTTTACTTGTAGATTAATCTTGGAAATTCATTTTTTTCCCCTCAGATTATTACCCCTCAACGTTGGCTCCATTGCATTGCAATTATTACAATGGACCTTATGTGCAGTACCTAACATCTTAATTATGTTAGGTCTACACATAAAAGACTCCATAAATACCAAACAGAGAAACAAACAAGAATACTGTGAAGATAATTACAAATTTACTCAATGCGATGCCAACATGCCTCCCGTTAACATGTCTTTAAACTCTATATATCCTGACACCATCAACGTGCATTCTTCTGGGGAATATACGGAGCATGCACCGTTGCTGTGCCCCTTTCATGCAATAACACCAACATCTTATTCACCGTTGTAGTACTGATTAACAACAGTGTAGGCGGTCACAGTTTGTCAAACCGAGTTAACTCCCTTCGTAGTACAGGCCACAGATTTCCCCCAGTAACCTAGAATCTGACCTGATCACAAATCACCAATGTTTTCACTTTTTGGGTTCTCCGGAGGTGCAGCCTATTGCAGCATGCAATGGATGATACGAATGTCTCTTTTCGCATGGGTAAGAGACATACAACTGTGCATTCACATGCTCTTAAGTAACCAGATTACCGTGTGATTGCGGTAGAGACCTTATCTCTTAAACACCATGTTAACAAGATCCCTGGTTCTGTAATTGGGTAAGGGATTAGAGAAACCAGTGAACACAGCTACATTTCTGCAGAAGAAACCTGATTTCCTGGCCACGTACAGGCATAAGAATGTGTTTAACTCCGATCCGATTATTGAGTTTTCTGCTTCAAGACATAATCTTTCAAGTCAAAGCCAGGACGCAGAGTGAGATTCTCTGGTACTAACCATTCCAAGGTCTAGGCTAAAAACCAAAGGAGACAGGGCCTTTGCTGCAGATTCACACACTTCTTCAAAAAAGTTTTCACTGTGTGATGCATGTGACAATGCAATACTCAGGTTTCAGTATTGTGAAACATCTCACATTTAGGAATATAATAAAAATAGTGTAGTAATAGTCTTAGTGCTGCGCTTGGTGGGAATTGTTGGGTTTCTTTAAATAACATCACAGAGTACGGTCTAGACCTGCTCTTTTATGAAAAGCGCTGTGAGATAACTGTTGTTGTGATTTGGCGCTATATAAATAAAACTGAATTGAATTGTCTTTACACAAAGCAACCATACATTGCCTAAATAAATACTGTCTAAAAGTTGCTAATTTATTATTTAAAATCAGGAAATGTCAGATATAGAAGAATGGGCAATCACAAGAAATTTGATACCAGTTTCTGGTACTCTGTGCTAAAGATACATAATTTGGTTGGCACCGAAAAATAATTGATATTTTATACCCAACCCTGATGGGAAGTAGCTTAATTGGTGTTTTATTTTTATTTATCTCAACAGAAAGATCTGGTTTTTCATGTGTAGTCTTCCCACATGACCGTGACACTTTGTGTGGTTGAACACCAACATACAATGTTAGTACGGTTCTCAAAATTCATGCTAAATCAATTTCCAAGGCAACGATGAACAGCCCACCACAGGTTTTTGTAAATCACACCCTGAACCCTCAGTAGGGCTGCTAATGTCAGACAGATTGATGTCTTAACTGGCTCATCAGCTGTTATTTGCCACATCATGAATGACTCTCCGCCAGCTGAGCATCCTTTGTGAGTGGGAACACCAGCCCCACGGAAACAATAGCTCCCACAGAGAGGACAAGTCCCATGGGAGCTGGAAATAGGTGAGGGAGGCCTCAGTTTGCATGACTAAAACAGGCACACTTGCCTACAGGCACACTCAGCTTTACAATGACAGCATCCCCTAGGAATAGATAAAGGGTGTACCAAATGTCATTTATCTGGTCACATTTCTAAGAAGGAAAAGGAAGGAAGCACCTAAAGTTGCAGTTTCTATTTTGTGCAGAAATAGAAAGAGCGCTTAGCATGGACATTTTTTAAACTTTAAAAGGTCCCATGGCTTTGAATGTGTAATTTTTCCATGATTTGGCATGTTTCTGCACTACTAAAACAGCATTTTCTTAATTCATAATTGGAGTTTATCTTGGGATGCAGGGGTCCACCTCAGCAAAATGATGACAAATAAATGCATTAATGTCCTTGTATTTTAGTAAATCTTGGGAGTTTTTTTCCCCATGGAAAGAGCTGCAAGCCTAATCTAACAGATGGAAACATGCAAACTACAGGCTTATTTGGCCTCTGTTTGTTTACATTTTGGGAAATTGCCACCTTTAAAAGTATGCCAAATGAAGCGTTTTCTGATTGCAGTGTACCCATAAATGTACAGACAGCTATCAATGGATTACTTTTCTCAGAGTGTCTTTTTTTCTATCATTGCTAAGCAGATTTATGGACATATATGGACAACAGAGATAAGAATTATATCAACATGGGTTTCATGTTCGTGTTATGGCTTTGTCCTGCTGAATGTCCATTTTCCTCACAGACCATATCTTCTAGTTTCCAGATGGCTAAAATGCTTTCCAGAACGGTTGGTTAAATTACAGGCAAACCAGAGTGCATATTTCACCCCCCTCCAATACCAATCATGTTCAAATGTGTTTATATAACAAAAAACCTTTGCAGCTCAGGTGCATCATCTTGCAGTGTGACACACTACACGGGACCAAACACAGATGTCACACCAAACACTGCACATCTGTAGAGTCGGTCATCTGTAGAGTCGGTCATTTTTAGCTTTGCATTGTGCGGTCTGAATTTGGCATTAATAGAAAGTCACTTCAAAGTATTTCGAGTAAAAGTTATCTTCTGGGTCTTTTCTACCATACGACACATATTTTTTGATAAGAGACTGAATTAACTTATATGTATTTGATGGAAGCTGTCAATTTTTTTTGAGGCAAGCAAACGTTACTGCATATTGTCAGGTAAGTTACTCACCGTTGCGTTGGAGCAGTTTAACAGACACACCACCAGCAGAACAAACCACCTCCTCTTGTAAACTTTAAAAACTAGCAGTTTCTTCAGTTCTGTGTTTGGACTTTCGGGAACATTAGAGGAAACAGTCTGAATCTCGCTGCAGGCTTCGCCAACATCCTCCATTGTTGACAAGTTCACCGGTTAAGCTAGAAACAGAAGCTAACGTTAGCAAACACTGCTGAAAAGTCGCTGTTCGCGATCACACTTGGTCTGTAAAAACGGGCGTATGTTCAGTACAAGCTGTAAATCCATTGTGTTGTCTTCTGATGGGTTATAAAGTAATTTTATCCCTACAGTTTGCAGCTGGTAGAAGTCGGCAAACACCCCGGAGTGTAGTTGTAACTTACTGTACCAAAGATCTTCTATGAAGAGGATGAACCACTCGGTTGCTAAAACTACAGCCGTGGACATACGCAAATATACACTGCTCAAAAAAATACTTGCAAGAGAACAATTGACAGTTATGACAGCATAACATCATGTCAGTTAAACTTCAGTGATATAAGTCTGTCGAGTTAGGAAACATAAGCGATTGTGAATCACTGTCAACTGTTTTGGTGCAAATGAAAGTGACAACAGGTGCAAAAGGGAATGGTTTTGCAGGTGGTGGCCACATAGAGTGGCTCTCTCCTTACCCTGATTGTTCTCTAGTTTTGCATTTTGCTAGTGTCCTCGTGACTCCTGGTAGCATGAGGTTGTACCATTCAAGTTACACAGGTAGCCCAGCTTCTTCAGGATGGCACATCCATACAAGAAGGTTTGCTGTGTCTCCCAGCACAGTCTCAAGAGCATGGAGGAGATACCAGGAGACGGGCCATTACACGAGGACAGCTGCACAGGGCTGTAGAAGGGCATCAACCCAGCAGCAGGACTGGTATCTGCTCCTTTGTGTGAGCACGAAAAGGAGGAGCACTGCCAGAGCCCTACAAAATGACCTCCAGTGCGCTATGTGTGCATGTTTCTGACTAAACTGTCAGAAAGACACTGCATGAGGGTGGCATGAGGGCCAGATGTCCTCTAGTGGGATCTGTGCTCACAGCCCAGCACCGTACTCGATTGGCATTCGCCAGAGAACACCAGAATTGGCAGTTACACCATTTGTGCCCTGTTCTTTTCACAGATGAGAGCAGCTTCACACTGAGCACATATGAAAGACGTGAAAGAGTCTGGAGACATCTTGGTGAACGTTATGCTGCCTGCAACATCACCCAGCATGACCTGTTTGGCGGTGGGTCAGTGATGATCTGGGGAGGCATATCCTTGGAGGGTTGCACAGACCTCTGTGTGCTAGCCAATGGTACACTGACTGCTGTTAGATACTGGGGTGAAATCGTCAGAGCCACTGAGAGAGCTAACGCTGGTGCAGTGGGCCCTGGGTTCCTCCTCGTGCAGCACAATGCCCGGCATCATGTGCTCAGAGTGTGTAGGCATTTCCTGGATGATGAAGGCACTGATGCCGTTGACTGGCCCTCACGTTCACCAGACCTGAATCCAACTTACTTCACCTTGATTTTTCGGTGTGATTTTGAATCTAGCGCTCACTTGGCTGGTGATTTTGGTTTCCACTGACCGTTGGCATTTTTTTTTCAATGAATTATACAATGTACAGTAAAGTTAATTGAGATCTGATGTGTGATTTAAGTGTTCCCTTCATTTTTTTGAGCAGTGTACAACTATAACAGTAGAACCCTTACATTGATGTTCCTTGGTGTAAAGATGCAGGAAGTGACTAGCTAACATCATAGTGCCAGCAAACTAGTAACTTAATTACCTGTAGGCTGCTGTACTGTATAGCCATAGCCCTATTTGAAATACCTATATTAACGCTAAACTAGACTGCTGTATATGTTTTGTCTCTGTGTCTTTGTGTGTCTCTGGAGCTGCTCTAAAAGGCAAATTTCCCCCGGTGTGGGATCATTAAAGTTGATCTCATCTTGTTTTAGTAATTGTACACAAATCATGACTGCTTTTTAAAACTGTGTATTTATTTGTTAAAACAAATGCAAATGAACTTAATCATAACAAAGTAGTGCTGACATTGCACTTTCATAGCATATGACCTGCATGACCATGAAGCCATAACCTGTAACCCTTCTGCCATCAGGGCGCTCCCTAGCATATAACACGATTAACAGTAACACAACAGAATCTATTTTGTATGTTTCTGTCCTGACTTGTTGTATGTTTGTAGTTGATTCAGGAAACGAATGATAATGAATTGTTTCATGGCATTCAAAAGGTCACGAGTCACTGGTGTTAAAGTCCAAGTCGAGCTGCAAGTCTGAAAAAAAACCCAAGTACTATACAGATGCAACCAGACACAAGCATGCAGAGAAATTGTTCCTGTCAGTATGTTGCTATTTTATATAATATATATATATATATATATATATATATATATATATATGATGTTTTGGGATTTATATTACTGCTGCATAAAACACATCTGTGCTTGTTTGCCTTAAATAGTTCAATCAGATCACTGTCCTCTTGCTGGTGATTTGGAGGAACGGAGTGAGAGCTCTTCACTTCTTCAACTTCTCTGACAGCACTGGGCAGAACAACACAGAACACTCCTCCCTCTCTTTAACCCTTTGTGACAGTCTCTTGGTCCCTTTTGAGTATTTTTCGCAAGGAAGCTTATTTAAAAAGGAAGTGATACTAAGTGCAAAAGCCACATTTGGATCATGATTCCACTTTATGTTCTCTTACTGAAATGTTCTGTTTTTTTTAAACTGGTTTGCTTTTATTTTGTCTCCTGTATATTACAAACAATTAATTGCCGTGTGTAACCTTGCTCTTATACAATTAAAATATTTAATCAAAAAAAGAAATAGGTGGCGTGTTGGCAACAAGCAACAGAAGCAACAGACTTTCCAACAAGATCATCAAAAAAGGAGATGAACATATATATGATAATAAGTTGATAAAAAGACATGACGGATTCAGCATGAAAGCAATAACATGCTCCATGTTGGTGTGAGCACTGTAATGTACACATCATCTATATAAATTATTTTTTAAAAGTACATTTATATTTGCTTGGCCAAGAAGTACATTAGTTCTTGTTAGTTTGAAAGAGCAACAATTATAGGGACGCAAAGGAATAACAAATCTTATTCCAAATATATAACTTCATAGTGAACTTTTTATGGATTGACCCCTGAGTTATTTGTTTCGGAAAAGCACTTACAGGTAATACATTCTGCTTTACAGTGGTGGATAGAGCAAGTAATACTGCACTAGAAAAATACTGCAGTAGAAGTCCTGCATTGAAAATGTTTAGTAAAAGTAAGCAAGTCTAATCAGGGAAATGTACTTAAAATGTTAAAAGTAAAAGCTTTATGCAACAAAAATATCCCCTGTTGGTGCTATGCTGCTATTTATTATATCATTAATTATTATTCCTCATGAATTAATGTAAAAGCAGCATTTTGCTGTTGAAGTTGGTTGAAGTGGAGCTGATTTTAAACTATTTTGTATCAGACTGCAACTATTGATTAATTTCATCATAGATTAATCTGCTGATTATTTCTCTCCATTAATCAATTGATTGTTTGGTTTGTATTAATTAAGAAATTTGTGAGAAAGGCCGTCACATTTGTGAAGCTGGAACCATGAAATGTTTTTCCTGAAAAACACTTCACATCAAAATAGTTTCCAATTATTTTTCTGTCAGTCCACTAACTGATTAATAGACTAAATGTTTCAGCTCTACTTGTATAATATACATAAACTCTTTGTATATTTTGTGTGTATGTAATAATAATAATAATTTTATTTATATTGCATTTTTCAAGCTTAAACACAAAGTGCTTTCCAGATACAGTGACAGAAGTATAGTTTTACATGAAGCTGTGATGACTGATGTGTTGCAGCCACGACACATCCCCTTTGGAGGCCCTTTAGTGGCTGATCCCTGTCGTCTTATCCCTGAGAAGTCTTATATGCTGTTATCTTTTATTTGCTACTGTACTGGAACTTATGCCAAATAAACTAAACTAAAACATTCAGTGCTTTAAGGAGGGCTTTCTATAGTCCTAATCACACTTAACTAAAAGTTACTTGTAAATGCTTTCTTGGACGTGGCTCAGACTTTGTTAAATCAATCTTGACCAAAGCCCAAGAAGGTTGTAATGAAGTTATTGTACATCCTGAAGAAAAACTTGGCTGTAGCATGTAAATCAGTGGAATCTTAAAGATTACAAACGTCTGAGGGTCAGCAGATGTTGGCGAGCGGTTGTTCTAAAAACAGATTTTGGCAACTGTGACTATTTTTTTTGGAACATCATTATTTCCAGCAACGAGCGCGCAGAGTGCCATGACAATAGTTATTAGGGATTCCACCACAGATCTGGGCAGAGACGAAAATCCCACCCACCCTCTTAACCCCAACCATCCCTAATCTTAACCAAACCATAATCATGTTCAACTTTATACCTAAACCCAAACATCTCAAGGCTTATAAATCTTAAAACGAGAATAGCACTTCTGGCCACAAACCCAGTGGGATCATTATTTTTACATCATCCACAAGAAATGTTGGTATTTACAGCTTCAAACACTGGTGAGTTTAGAAATGCTTTACAAATGATGATGGCAACTTATGCAAGGATGTACATTTTCTTTGTTTTGTACCATTTCACAGTGCAACAAGTGACAAAAGCACACACTGTAATGACAGGACCATCATGGATGTTTTGCCATGATGTTTTTGTACAGACATTCATGGAGCCCAGATGAGGAATCCTAATGACTTTAGTGATCCCTTCTGTAACAGAAATGCACCATTCTGTAAGTTTTTTAGTAAGTGGAACGCTTGAACTTTTATTCATACTTTGCACAGTTATTTGTCATTTGCACCTTTTCACTCTTTGTTCTACATTTAAACTTGTTTTTTCTGTTTTCATTGTATTTCACGATGTTTTATAGATATGTGTATTTTATTATTTTACATCTTAATAAATATGGATGAATAAAGTTTGGACTTAAAAAACCCCCTCAAGGTCTCACCACAAGGTCCATTGGCATTTAGTAGCTGTTCTGGAGCTTTTGATCATATCACAAGCTCCTCTTTATTATATGGGGTTTGCTCAGTGTTCAAATTTCCATTTTTCTGAACAAAGACTTTGCCTGACATTTAAGATTTAAGGTTTCTTCTTGACTATGGAAGCAGCCATCAAAACAATCTATCATATATTATATAGTATCTTGGTTCAGCGTGAAATATCTCAACAAATATGGATTGCCACTAAATTTGGTACAAACATTCATATTTTAATTACTTTGCTGATTCCTTATATTTTGATTTGCTCACTACCAGCGTATGTGTTGCATTATAATAAAGTCATCCGT